CAGGGTATAGGTAAAAGAAGGGTGGCCATAGTGTGTGCGGAAGCAGGGAGTGTGTGTCAACAATGCACACGGTTAGGTGGAAGTGCTTTGTAAGAGTGAATGTATTTGTACATACAATAGTGAATATGACATCACGGGGAACATTGTACACCTGGCCATATGAAGCAGTGGGTTCCTACTGTGGACTACTCAGAGTGTAGTTATGTTTGTTTATTCATGAGCGAATAACTCATGATATAATAAATAGCCAAGTGATATGTATATTTTTTGGTATACAAGATACATAATTATATATTATGTATATTATGTATACATAATATATATAACCTTAATATACCTTTCCCTTAATATATCATTCACCTTTTTATTCTATAGGCTGATGCTTCCCACCCCATGAGTGAGAAATGAGAGTATTAAAAATAGCATATACAATGTACATATTTTTTGTATATGTGTATTCATTATATATTTATGTATTATGCATTATATGTATATAGGAGTTCACTTCCCAACTCCATGAAGTGCCTGTGTACTTTTCCACTCCTACTCACATAAAAAGTATGGGGGTTGCATAATAAATGATCAGAAAAATAATGTACAGTACAGTATATACATATGTATACAGTGTAGATTAGTTTAAAGTTTTGTCATGTGTGATGAGACTAGTGAAAGTAAATGTGGTTAAAAGTAACATTGGTTGAGAAAAGGTAACTGTTTGTGTGTGTGAGAGTTACTAGTGAGAACTTAGAAGTGGATGATCAATTTAGCATTTTAACTGACAAGCTAATAACTATTATCAGATTCATAACATTTGTTTTATTGCTTCGATGACTGGTATTTTTGCTGTTTTGGTGTATTGAGATGCATCCCTGAGAAATGAGCTTGTGTTTCAAGCCGAGAGTCGAGCCTGGGCATGAATGACAGCCGACTTGGGGCAATTAGCAACTGGTTAACCCTTCAACTGCATATATTAGGATCGTTTCATCAGTGGTGCACATCAACCAAGGTCATTTTTAGATCTCGCATAAGATTTCAAACTTCCACACAGTAAATGGGGCACCTTATGATGCCTGAAGCCTCCAGTAAACGGTTGCCATCTTGGAGAAAAATCATGAGCTCCCGCATTACTGTATCATGGGTAGGCCTTGGTTTGCGTACAACAACTATGAGCAATGCATGTGCCTCCAGCTCACAGCACCATGTGACTCGTGCTACAGCATCACTCACTGACAAGCAAATTCACATGAAACTGCTAGTGATGTAGATGATCCTGCTAGTGACAAAAACTATACACAACAATCAGATATAAGTGATACAGATAGTGAAATTTATTAACCAGTGTTTCAAAGACGAAGCTTACACCACTGTTGTCATGGCCCCGGTCTACTCCACCGCTGCCACAGTAGCGGTGGTTGACAACAATAGCAGCTGTGCCACTTCCTGTTCCTTTGCCCCATAGACATAGGGAAGATCAGCACCTCAACCTGCAAAATGACACCATGTGATGTCACATGAGGAAACTGAGGGAAAATTAGCCTGAAGTTCAACTGTACGTGCTTGCTCAGTGCATATTAGAAGAGCTTCATCTACCAGCCAATGCAGTTTTGTTGGAGGTTGGATTCATGCCCATGGTGGTAGTTGTGGTGGTGGTGGAGATAGTGCCACAGGCAGCACACGTGTGCTCTTGTGTGATGTTGCCAACTTTGTCCCACAAATACCTACATTTGCAAATGTAGATTACAAAGATGATGAACTGTAAAAATCGAGGAACATATTCAGTGACTCGAATGGAAAGTAAAACGATTTCTACATACCAGGTCAAAACCTAGCGACTGAATAATCACCTGTTCTTTTTCAAAGAACATCTTGCTTCAAGCAGTATATCTGCTCCAAATGCCAAACATATCGACTAAAATTCTTAGTTGTGTGTGATTGAGAAACATTGAATGATGATAGACATGATACTTTATCCTGGCATCAACTCGGACATTCCCAGTAACACCGTGGATTTTCAGGCAGTGTATTATAGAAGCTGATGGCTCCATAGCTGAACAAGGGCCACATTTTATATGCAATTATTATACGTTGCTTGCTAACCAGGTTCCTGCTTGACCATAGCTCTGGAATATATGGCACAGTTAAGTCACAAAGGAGAGAAATGCCAGATTTTGATGAAAGTATTTCACTAGGTAAACATCATTTGAGAAAAAGTGACAATATTAGTAGTGCTAAGTGGCAGAAAGTCAGATGCGAAGTGAATATGTTGGCCACAATTCACACTAGTGAGATGGTAGATACTGATGTGACAAGGTCAACTATACAATGAAAGGTAAAATATATAAACCAAATTGCGTCATGTAAAATAATATAAATGTGTTTGGTTGATAAATGTGACATGATGGTTGGTGTTGTGGAATGTGTGCATAAAAGAGCCAAGTGGACAAAGAATTTTTTTTTTTCACCTTGTGGATGTAACAATGCTGAAGTTACGTGTATTTAGTGAAATCAGGCAGGAAATCAACAGTGTGTGCGTGTGTGTGTTTAGTCTTGCCATTGTGTCATTACTGCTTGCAAAATTTGGTCAAGAAGGACAAGTTACAACCAGAGGAGTTACCACCTGAACAATTCCTCATGCTGCTCCGAACAGACTGGCTTTCAAAGCAGACTTTATGACACAGCAACTTGAATACAGTATATGGTTTCTAAGGAAAAAGGGCAAAAGGCACAAGTGACACAAATACCGGAGACAGAAGGTATGGAAAATAGTTACTATTACCTGACACAAAGAAAAAGCGCTCCAGGATTATCACACCCTCCATAAATTCTGCATACAGTAGTATGGAGTATAAACATGTACATAGTGTGTGTGACAGGGTTATATAAACTTAAAAATACAGTAGTACTGTAATTTACTGTAAATAAACTATTTTCGTGTGCACATTAGTGACAAATATACTTGTGTGTATTGATGTTCAACACATTTCGTTGTATACCAACTGACTGATAACCTAGTGCACTACAGCAATAAAAGTAAAAACTTTTATTGCTGTAGAATATATGCCGTGACTTTATTTTTGACCTGTCGAAAAAAGGTCGACAACACTGAAATAAAAGAAAATAATTATCCAAGGCAACTCTTGCCGCTTGAATGACCCGCGCAACCTGCCCAGAGTATTTGCTGCAGGAATAATCAAACTGGTGACAACATTGACTGTGGTGAAGCAAAGAATTCTTTCAAAGTGTGAAATTTCTTTTTCCTTTCCTGTGATCATGGAACCCATTAACAATACTGTAATAGGTAAAAATCAATGTAGTTTTTTCATGCTCACCACGGGGTTGTCACATGTAACAGGTGCGCAGTGCAGGGGTTAAATAAGTAATGTATTTCATTAATATTTAGAAGCTGGTGAGCTGTCGTGTGCACAACCCTTGCAACAAATAAATTCTATGTGGCTGATATTTTTTCTATTTAAAAATTAAATGTACTGTACTTTGCACCACTCACAACGGATGACATTTAAGGTTTTCTAATAATAATAATAAAAAAATTCCTCCTCCTTGAATGTTCTAATTGCTTTACACTAAATATTTCACACATCAGACATCTAACCACTTACTGTACTATATTGCTTCCCTACTACTTCTGTGTTGACAGCTTCCCACTCCATTTAATTGGGAAACGGCTGTAGCGATGACAATAACAATTTAGAGTAAATGAAGCAGTCAGCAATTGAAATACTGTAATATGTTAAGACTTCATACAAGAACTGCAGTTAAATTTATGTGAGCCATAATACACAAACACGCGAACAAGGGACAGGACATGTATTAATTCAACGTTCACTCATTCAATACCTTTACGTCATAAAATGTAATTTAGAGATCAGAGCAACATGAGTCTCATATTACATGAATTGGCATAGAATCAATTCTTGCCAAGGTACATTTCAATATTATTCACAGCCTAATAAACCGAGGTCTGCAAAACTACATAAATATTTGTATGAAAGCCATTATTCAATGCAAGAAAACTGAGGGGCTACTTTAAGTTACACCATGTCCTGGGGAAGCAAAATATTTATGCAAGGGATAAAATATTCTACCTAAGCAGTTAACATAAAAAAAAGTGATTTTAAAGCAAAGTCAAGGTAAAGTAAGATTAGGTAAAGGTACCCTTAATCAGAATAGCCAAGATCATAGATCATATTTGGTAATTTTCTTCTGCCATCTCCCACCATTATAGTAGTAACAGCTGAATATCTTTGTAAATATAGAACACACACTTCACTTCATGATGTCACACGGGTAAATCACAATAACATCTTACCTTTCAGTTAAACATTACAAGAAGTGATGTGCATGTGCAAAATATGAAAACCAAGAGAATTTTTTTATCAACAATAATTTCATTATTATGTTTCATAGTGATGTTATGCAACAAATCAGCGTTTTTCATTTTCACTAGCAAGTGTGGTTTATAACAACGTACTCGTTGCTAATAAAATTTTGAGTCCATCACCAGTGAAATTCAAATGTCCTGAAAGCTAAGATTAGGTCCCAACCCAAAGCAGCCAGAGAAAATTACATAAACTCTCTCCAGGAAAGCCTCATTAAAAAATAAACCATAAATATCTGCAGCAAGCCATTCAATATAATACTGTATTGTGTTAAGACAAAATTTCTGCCCAATTAAAATTATAGCATACCAAAGCAATTTTTGTTTAGCCTTACAAGAACATCAACATCATCTTAGCAGTACCTTAAGCACTATATGATTGAATTTGGACGATTTCATGTTAGATTAAGCTAAGCATTGTTAAGTTTAGCTTTAGCAAGATACAGAACTCAAAAGCTAAAAAATATTTAGCTGTTAGATGCTAGAAGCCAGGGTTAGATTTCAATCTGCTGGAACCTCTTTCCAATAGCAGAATTTTACTGTTAAATAGCAGCCAATTATAAAGGGGTTAGTGTGCTGTGAACCACTCTTAATTTCTGCTGACCTCTTCTTACGGTGGGCATGTAGGGCGGGTAATTTGGGGGACTTATTTTCTTCCTTTACCCTGTTGGAGGAAGTTATCAAGGTTAAGTTGATTACAAAGTGTTAGTTAAGAGCTTTTTACAGTTCGTCATTTTTTTTAAATAATTAACAACTTAGACCAACAAAGTTGCATACAGACATATCAATCCTCAATGTTATCTTAGCCTCAAGTAAATAAATTTCATATACTGTATATAGCTAATAACAGGACAATAGGATAACTAGCCAAAGTATTTTTCAAATACAGCAATTTGAAAAATAACCCAACAAGACTGCAAGTCAAATAAAATATTGTACACTATTGACTATAAAATAAAAGGCCCTATTCCCCAACAGGATTTAACAAGTCAATCACAGATGGGTACAGGGTAATGTCTTATGCAAGGCTAGGCAATAGTTTATGAGCGGAATCCAGCATTGCCCCAGGGCGATCGTCTTCATAGGGAGTTTTGGCATCATCTAATGAGTGAGGGTTTTAAACCTAAGCTAACCTAACCTAGCCTAGCACAGACCTTAATAATGTCATCTGAAAATACCTAGTACAGTATTAGGAGAATACAAAAGTTTATTGTATAAGTAGTAATTAAATTAATGTGTTCCAGTAAACACTTACTGTATTTACAAATTTTTTTCCTCTTGATTGGTGATGTGTTTATGTTAGTGTAGGTTTGGTTAATTTAGGTTAGGTAAGCTTTGCTTAATTTTATCAGCAAACTTAATTTCACAGTTGAAAATTTAATTAAAGTACTGTATTGTTGTATGGGTAGCCTAAAACCACTATGCAACACAAGTTACAAACTCAAAGTCTAAAAAATCAAGATATTTATAACAATGTTTTATTTAAAAATATGATGCAAAAGATATGTTAAGATTTACCAAAGATTATGTATCACATTCCTAGTAAAAATACATGATTGTTAAAAGTACTTTAACTGTACTTGTTTACATTACGCTGTGGTTAAGTCCAGGAGCCTATTTGTAATAATGTACACGTCAGAGCAATTTACCCCTAAGCATTATGCTCAGAACAAAAAAGCATACACCACCTCAGTGATTCCATATTAGGGTTCTGCAAGAATTTACAAAAGCTTATAAGAACATTACAACTTGCCACCTTTTTTGTAACCGACCAAAAAAATTACCATAATAGTAATAACAAAATGAGTGCGAGCACAAAATAAGTTGTTGAAAAATGCTATTCAGTTATTTCAATTGTGAATGTAAATTATAAAACAATGAAATGGAACTTTCTCATTAAAACCTTTATAAAAACAATTACATTAACACTTATCATTACAAAATACAGTGTATACACAATAACTAACCAGTAAGCGATGAAAGGTGAAATGTTCTCATTTTTTTTATTAACAGTAATAAAGAGAAACAGGACGTAAACTCTTGTAATATTTTATTGAAAAATATGAGTTAATTAGAATTTATTAACCTTACAACTTTACACATCTATTCCATAATTTACCTGTCAAACCTAATGTGTTAACCAGGTAAGGGTTCACAAATTTTTTACAAAATATTGGATTCTTCCAAACAAAAAATGGTTGGGAATCACTACAACACCGAGCTGAATCTTTGATGGAATATATCCTAAAACTAGATAATCATAAATAAAAAAAAATATTCACTGTAACCACTCTATTTTCAATTTTTTTGTATTCATAAAAACTGTAATCTCTTTGGGCACTGATAAAAATCTATGATATCCACACACTTAAAAGACTAAATAGGACAATACTCAATATCTGCAACAAATGCAAAACACCAAATGCTATCAGAAAACAAATGTGTCTGAAGTAAAATGAGTTATGGTCAAACTCCACACAGGCATTTCAACAGTTTTTAATTTAAGTGTAAAAATTATAAATATCATTAAATTTGGTTGTGTTAGCTTGGGTTAGGTTGGGTTACATTGTGTAGGGTTGGATTGGGTCAGCTTGGTTCTAAGGTATAGTTGCATCGAGTTAGGTAAGGTTAGGTTAAGTTTTAAAATATGTTGGTGATCCATCTTGGGTACGCTGTGACTGTATCTTACTTAACAGACCAGACATGTTACTTTGCACACAAGATGCCCTGTAGTGTGATAGTGTAATTAACCAACTGACTGGTCCTGGGTTAGATTCCCATGGAGGACAAGACTTGTGCATATCCCTACACCTGATACCTCTGGTTACTCAACAGTAAATAGGTACCTGGGAGTTAGGCAGCTATTGTGGGTTGCATCCTGGGGAAGGTCCATCATTGGTCTTTGGAAGACCTTCATAAGCCAAAAGGCTTCCTTATCCCCAACAATGAGAAGCCACATCACTGTACACCTTACAGTTTCCCCATATTCTGGGAAAGAAAGCCTATTAGGCTTAGCAAAGTTCTACTCAGTCAAATATTACTGATTACTCTCCTCGGGATGCAACCCACAACAGTTGCCGAATTCCTGGGTACCTATTCACTGCCAGGTGAACACAGGCATCAGGGGAAAAGGAAACGTGCCCATCCGTTTCTGTCCCGCGTGGGCTCCTGGGTTTTGATTCGGGGACGTTGGCCTTTGCTACGACTTGCTAACAAAAATTCAAACCTAACTCAACCCTGCCTTGCCGAACGATACATGCCGTTTGTTAGCTCAGAAAATGCTGTTTGTGCGGAAGACGCGTTTACCATATGATCATCTCCCAAGTGACATGCTGGCACGAGCCAAGACGACGTCTCGGGGCCAAGACGGCGCTCATAGCCCGCTTAGGGAGGCGCCGCACACCCACTGACACCTCTCACAACTAACACTAGCACTCACGAAACATCCAGCTTAATCCTCTTGGCGTTGTCAGGTTGCTCGTTGTCGCTCATCTTGGTAAGGTGTTCCGGGAAGCTGAGTTCCTCCACACTAGCCTGTTTATGCCCAGCGGTTTAGTGCTGAGGCGTTCTTGGTGCCCGGTGCCGCCGGCGCCTCACCCAATACATTCCTTTATGAATTATTATTCTTACAGGAAATAGTAAAAATAACACAATACAAATATAATTTTAGTCAGAAATGCATATATTATATATTTTTACTAAGTTATGGATACATGACAGGAATTTAGTTTAATTTAAGAAATAAAAACTTAAATATTGGGGAATATAATATTTTAAAAGCACAAATATCTTTAGGACAAAGTATATGCATAACTTCAAGACCGTTCAATTAAATTGCCTTATTACTCGAAATACGATTAAGTTCTAGAGAATACTGTTTTATCAAATAAAATTATAAAAGGCTACACAATATTTATAATAGGTAAAACGGTGTGTGTTGTGGCAGCTTGAGCCCGGCCTTCACCCTCAGGCACGGTATGAAAAACAGGTTCTGGATGCAGTTCGTGCAAGATGAACCGCCGCTTCAAGTTTTTTTTTAACAAACTTAAGTGCCCCAGCAATCTATTGCTTTCTTATTTTATATAAGAGATCACAAAGTAAAGGTCAAGAGCTAGCTATGAGTTGCAGCATATTTAACACGGATATATATATATATATATATATATATATACCTCTGTGTATTCCATTTAATTCATTGTGTCACGGGACCTATATCTTTTTCACTGACATCAACACCGTATTGCCAGATATATTTGTATCCTAATCTTAATCTCATGTAAATTGAATCCTTCCAGGGAGACTGTCCTCTACCATAGGTGAAGGACAAATTTGTATTTATTATTGAATAATTCTTAAGTGTGTTACTACTGTCCACCATTGCCATTCTCTTGTAGCGAGTACAAACATTATACTCACTCCTACTTCTCATTAGATTGATTGATGAAGATTAATCCACCCAAAAGGCGGCACGGGCATGAATAGCCCGTAAGTGGAGGCCCTTTTGAGCCATTACCAGTATCAATTGATGATACTGGAGATCTGTGGAGGTGCGACTGCACCCTGCGTGACGGGAGATGTCTCCCGAGTTCTCATTAGCTTAATGGCGTAACTAATTAGCACTAATTGCAGAAGTTATAATCTCTTCCCTAATTACAGATAACAGTTCTTCCATCCTCCTATCCTAGTGGAGGAAACTGAGGTGTAGTCACCAAATATAAGCAAGCGAATTGCGAATAGCCGATTACGGATTTTTATCACATTTGACTACTTCCTGTAATCCTGCCAGTACACCTTGGCGTTCAGCCTGCCTTGAACACATTGTCAGTTAAGCGGCGTCCAATAACAGTATCTACAGTGCCGATGTCAGTGTACTCCCTGATCAAGACTCCACATCCTGCCTTCCCATCCCTAGCTACTGATCTAGTCACCTGCTCTCAATGCCTCTGTGAGAGGGCCATGGGGGGCCTTCAAAGCTAGTAATTATCAAAAGAAGGCAACAAGCTTGGATGATTAAGCTTCAAACCAAGATATTGGTGATATGAACACCTTGTCCAGGCAGCAAGCTATAGCCTAATGAATTTTCAAGTCTTCTCTATTTAGAATATGGATTTAAAAACCTTCTATAAATCTTTGAAATTTTATTAAACTGTTAATACAAAAATTACATTTAGGAAACTAGTATTACTGTTCTTTGCAGCATGGTCATGTACCTCTCCACCACTTCACTTCTATTCACTTGTTTTACACTAGCCCTTCTTCAAGGCTCTGCATGGCAATTACAAAAAAATAATCTTTAAAATAATTCTTTAGGTCTTGTGGATTTTTTAAAATTTTAACAAACAAAACCATTCAAATATAATATACATACCATAATCCTGCTGATGCTATTGATCGAGACTTATTAAAAGTATATTTGCATATAAAGGATTAATCATCTTTTAAATGCAATCATATTGTCCTGGTGCAATAAGAAGCAAAGCATGACTTTAAAAAATACTGCCCTTGTAAACTTCTAGAATAAATTACTGAAGGTGTTTGCATGCTAGCTGCAGAGGCTGTTTCTGTAAATCCCTTACACTCCTCCAACCCCCATATGTGAATGATCCTTATGGGTTTTCAATACTTTTTCATGCATAACTGGCTTAAATAGCTTTGCATTTTAAGGACCAAGAGTTTAATAAAAATATGGAAAACATAACCTGCACAATATAATGATCATGATAAGGAGAGGCTAGAGGCATTAACTATGCCACTAGAAGATAAAAGAAGTAGAGATGATACAATCACTGTACAAAATAGTAATGGGAATAGACAAAATTGATGAAGAATTCTTGAGACCTGGAACTTCGATAACAAGAGGAAATAAATTTAAGCTAACTAAACAAAGCTGCCGAAGTAATTATCGAAAGAAGGCGTCAAGCCGGGGAGACTATGTAGCACCATCAAAGTTGCAGGCTATTCAGAAGGCGCTAAATAACACTAAGGATACCATTTCGAGAACAAAAGCACATAAGGTGAACAATATCGAAGGTATCTGATTCACCAAGGATTCCATCGAGGGACAAATGACCGCAAGGGACAGTCAGGAAGCAAGGCACACTCATGTCCTGGATGTTGGATAAAGCTGCAGAAAATAAATTTGAAATTTCAGTTTTGTAGTGGTAGACAGTTGGTACAAATTAAGTGAGGTAGTGGTGGAGGCCAAAACTATCAGTAGTTTCAAAGCATTATATGACAAAGAGTGCTGGGAAGACAGGACACCATGAGAGTAGCTCTCATTCTGTAACTACACTAAAGTAATTACAATATACAGGACTTAGTGTGCCATCCTCGAGAAGAGCCATGTGGTATATTGTTCGCTGTAGAAAACGAACAAGTCAGTAAAACTAACAAATTTCCAATATGGAAGACATTTATAATAAGTCACTTGTATGGTACAGTCATCTCACAAATGGATGTTAATGGTTTATATGCTATGTATATATATGTTTATTATTATATGGTTTCATGCTATGGTTTATTGCACTGACACATTAACACTATTAAAAACAGAAACTTGATAACTGGTAATGCCTCAGAGTCTGCAAGTAGAAACTAAAATTGGGAATGTAATTTATAAGTGAACCAAATCTATACACTTTTGATTAACAATTAATTCCCACCTAACGTTGATTTGAAACCGAATATCTTTGGGACTGACCTTAAAATATCTCACAGCTTTAATTTACAATAAAAAAACACTCTAAATTCTATTTCTAAAATGAATTAGATAAGGAATGATAGATTATAATAATAATAACAATAATAATTCGTTGTTGGGAGACAGTCAGCCAGCATATATATACAGTGTACATGTTAAGCTTATATCGAGGTCTCCCCCAAGGGTGAATTACTGAACCCCCCACTTCCCATCCAGGATGCAACTTCACAAGCTGACTAACTCATGGGGTACCTACTTACCGCTAGGTGAATAGGAGCATTAGGTGAGATGGAATGTGCCCAACCATTTCTGTCCCACCCGAGATTAGAACCCTGAATTCCCAATTGAGAGACGAGAACAAACTCGACTGTACTACCAGGACCCTCACTGTACTAAGAAGATTTATACAGTACACTAGGACTACACTAGGTGGGGACTGGTAGTTGAGATCAATACATTGGGAAAAACTGATATGTGAGGATTATAGGTAATGTTTCATTCATACCTAGAAAGTTGAGAAATACAACATTCAAAACAATGAGATTTTTAAGAGATTTCATCACATAGTACATTACAACTTAAATAAAATGGCCATACAGGCTGTATTTATTGTAATAAATAAATAAATATATTAACTTTAATAGCACTGTACAGTCATTAAATATTGTCTCTGTAAATATATTTAAATTATGTCAAAGTGTGTTAGAAAGTCTTACATATATTAATGAACAATGTCCAGTACATACATAAGCTATGGAACAACATTCCACTTGATTCATTAGAACAGTAGTAATTATTTTCTCTTTCAGTGTTTACATTTTTGTTACATGCACAAAGCTGTTGTAACTGTAATTACAGAGTTGATTACAGCATGCACAAAGCTGCTGCTGTAATTCTATCTTAATTTAAATTAGGATAGAATTCATGGAAAGTAGATTCTCAATTGAAAAATTTATCTAAATATGTGAAGTAATGTATAATATTATTGTATTAAGTGTAATTTTTTACTAGTGTCTTTTAATACTGTACAACTTTGCCCTTTATAAAGCAGGATGGGCTGAATATTTTTATGAGGATTTTCAAGCCGCCTTATTATAAAAACTTCAAACAGTAAATTATGTAAAATTCAAAATGCTACAATGAAGATAAAATTAAAAGGTATATATGAATTCAATACAGTACTCATAGTGTAACATAAAATGTGCAAGACAGCTAAAGTCTTCCTGTTCGAACATTTTTGGTAATAATAATGGCTCTTGTTGAGGCTGGGTGTGAGCTTTCCTCAATAGATCTACCATCTTGATCTGCTGATGCCCTATAAGCAGAACTCATTAAGTTCGGGTCACTTCTCAAGTGTGTCTGAGGATGATTGACTGCCACTTGTGGCAAAGATTGTAGCACAGTTTGCAGTTGTTGCTTTATTGCGCTCAACTCATTTGTCTTGGCCATCATGTTGTCGAGTTCATGCTTGAGTCTAATCACCTCTCGTGTTAAAGTTTTATTTTCTTCTTCTAAAGTGCTCTTTGATACAGAGTTATACTGAAGTGCAGCATGTAATGTTGTTATTTGATCATCCTGGGATGCAATACGCTCAAGAAGATTTGCTGAGGGTTGTCCAGCCAAGGACAAGGCAGTCTTGTATGAACCAACGGTATTCTTAAGGTGCTCCAGTGCATCTGACAGCTGCTGAATAGTAGTGCAAGCCTCTATATTTTCTCTCTCTAGATGAAGCACTCTTCTAGTAAGCTGTATACTTTGTGCCAGTGCTTTATTTCCTGTTAACCTTATGCCAGGAAGTATCTTGTCTAGAGCTTTATTTGCCTCGTCTTCCGAAAGTCCTGCAGCCGTTTTTATATTTTTTTCATACTCACTTTCTAGTCCCTCATACCCAGCCAAAATGTTCTTGACCCTTTGCAGCTCTTGATTTAAGGCTGATGTTTCATTTTCCCTTGCACGTTTGGCTTCATGGTAAGATGATTCAAGTGTTTTTATTTCTTTATGAAGTTTAGAATTTTCATCAACCAAACTATCTCGATTTTTTGACAATGAAGCCATGCTCATTTTCAGCTCTTTAATTTCAGTGTCAAAAGCCTGTGTTTCTGCACTGTATTTGAGTTTGCATTTTTCAACTTCACTTCTTAACATATCATTCTTTTCTGACAACAGACTGATCTTCTCTTGCAGACCAGAACACTGCAATGTACACCCCTGATGTTTCTCTCTAAGAGACTTAATTTCATGTTGGTAGTCTTTGGACTTTTCTGTTAAAGAAGTAACATCCCCTCGAGCTGTTATGTATTTCTCATGCAAGTCATCATTTCTCTGTCTCTCAAGGCGTAACTGTTTGCTTGAAGAGCTGAGATCTTCTGTAATCCTCTCTAATTTGGTTCTTAGATCTACTGCATCCTCTCTATAATGATTTAAATCATGTTCTTGTTTCCTAGTCTTGCCTTTAAGCTCACCATACCTCTCTTCCAGTACACTGCGCTCTTTCTTCAGGGTTGCAGCCTGTAATTCCAGGTCATTTGTTGTTTTTGCCAGCAAACTGTTTTGCTTTTCCAGATGGTCTCTCTCGGCTTTAACTCGTGGATAATTTCGAACTTTGTAATCATCAGATCTCTGTTCATCCTTTATGTTCATCAGTTCACTCGCATACTGCTCAGATTTTCTTTGCAACTCTTCTACAGTTTTTTGCAGTTTGAAACATTGCTCACTATGCAATTTCAAGTCGGCATCTTTAGCAGAGAGCGCACTTTCCAGTGAAGACTTGACGGCTTCAGCTTCACCGAGTTTTACTCTCAAAGGCCACACAAGCTCATATACTCGCAACTGAAAAAGAAAGATGTTCAGTTGAAAGATGATGTATACCATATACAGTTTAGGTTGTTTACAAAGAACATATAAATCTTAAAATTTATATGATGATTAAGACAAATGCTCGATATTAATACCATCTGAGCGTACATTATTTGCTAATCACGATGAAGATTGTGTGTGATGCTGTTTAGTGTGAAAGGTATGGTGAGCACAGAAGGGTGTTTTGGAGAATTTTTTAACATTCTTTCCATATGTTGCTCTCCTATTTACTTCAGGTTAAAGCCATCTTACCCCTTGAGAGCAGAAATTAGAACAATGATGATGATGAGATTACATCATGACAGAGTGACTAGCCTGGAGTTGAAAATATTTTTTACTCTGACACATAATCAAACCTGCATCATAAGTGTTCTTTTTTTATTTGACCAAGTCTACTAACATAATTTTCAGTGCCTCATTTTTTATCTTTTTGAGGTCGGTAACTTTCTCACCCTGAAAGAAGGAACAAATATCAAATACAGGAACAAATACAGGAAGGAACCAATACAGAGCCATTTCATAGACTTTTTCAGAGCCATTTCATAGTAAAGTATTCCATATGAACAGTTCAAAGCAAAATGTCTAAAATCCTCTCGTCAAACTATTGCTATCTAGTCCTGTTCACCCCCACATCTTATGCACTGTTCACATGCATGTGGCAGGGAAGGTTTCCCCGTGAATCAAGAAGTACAGTACCTCTGACACAGAAAACAGTAACAATGAGACACCTCATAGTGACTATGTTACCAGCAGTGTCCTACAGGGGTTGGTACCTGGGTCATTTCTATTCAATCTAAGAATGACTAATCAGAGGAAATAGGTTCCTTCCTCTCAATGTTTTCCAATGCAAATTTTATGAGGATATATATATGACGGAAGACTGCAAGAAAATACAGAATGACTTGGACAAAATAGAAAGAATGGCCCAGCAAGTAGCTACTACTTTAACTCAAGCAAGTGTCAGGTTATGAAGCTGAGTGCTGGGAACCATCCCCAAATCACACAGGAGTTGGGATGGGACAGGAGAAAGAAGGAATGGTGCCTAACCATTAGGACGGTCAGGGATTGAACGTCGATCTCCATGAAGCGAGACCGTCACTCTACCCTCCAGCCCAATTGGTTGAACTCCCCAAATGAGTCAATGAAAAAGACATGGGGTTGATATTACTCACAATAATATCTTATATACAAATACTGACACAGCCAAACTTGCAAAAAAAATTACAATCTCTTACGTAAGCACCCAAAATAATTTTGTCAATGATTTTTGCAATACAGCATGCTGCAAAACTCCCCCTGAACATCTGTTACTTACTGCAGTGTATTGCTGTAGTGTTAGCTGTTGAGCTGGAGTGCGATGAAGTTGAACAAACTCCTCTTCTGTCAATTTCAAATTTGCAAGTGATGTTTTTAACTCATCTTGCCTTATGGCCAGTCTGAAATGATAATAAATAATAATTAATGTTGTGAATGTTACCAATCCAAATTCTCCAGAAAAATGTGTATTAAGGTAGAAGGTTTTAAGGAACACACACTTATAACATAAAATCCAGTGTCAAGAATTACTTATGGAATAGGACTCGCAACGGCACAATGAATAGAATGGCCAATAAAATCAGGATTTGACAGAATTGTTTGGAAGCCTTTCTATCTTATCTGACTCTTTCAAGAGAAGATTCCAGCAAGAACACATTGCCAATGATATGATAGATATGGGTGATGTAGCCTTGCACATTCATCATATCTATATCACTTCTTCAACTATAACTTTAACTCTTGCTCACCTGTATGGAAGTAGCTATACTGTACATTACAGGTACAGGAAATAGCTATACTTTACATTACAGGTACAGGAAATAGCTATACATTACAGGTACAGAAAGTAGCTGTAAAGTATATTACATGTACAGGTAATAGCAATACTGTACATTAAAAGTACAGGAAGTAGCTATACTGTACATTACCGGAACAGAAAGTAACTGTGAAGTATATTACACATACAAGAAGCAAGGATACTGTACATTTCAGGTACAGGAAGTAGCTATACAGTATATTACAGGTACAGGAAATATATATATATACTGTACATTACAGGTACAAAAAGTATATATAATGTATATTATAGGTAAAGGAAGTAGCTATACTGGATATTACAGGGAGAAAAAGTAGTTGTACTGTATATTATGGGGACAGGAAGTAGCTATACAGTACTGTATATTACAGGGATAGGATGTAGCTTCTGATATAGTACAGGTATAGACAATAACTATATATCACAGGTACAAGAAGTAGCTATATAATACAAGTACAGGAAGCAGCTATACATAACAGGTGCAGGAAGTAGCTATATAATACAAGTACAGGAAGCAGCTATACATAACAGGTGCAGGAAGTAGCTATATAATACAAGTACAGGAAGCAGCTATACATAACAGGTGCAGGAAGTAGCTATATAATACAAGTACAGGAAGCAGCTATACATAACAGGTGCAGGAAGTAGCTATATAATATAGGTACAGGAAGCAGCTATACATAACAGCTGCAGGAAGTAGCTATATAATATAGGTACAGGAAGTAGCCATAAATTACAGGTAGAGAAAGTTGTTATGCAGAGCCCCACCTGACATGCCAACACTTGGTAGCACCACAAGATATAGAAGATATAGATCACCACCACACTATATAGAAGGTTAGCTGATATATTATCCCTCAGAGCAGGCATGTCAAACATGCAGCCCGTGGGCCGCATGTGGCCTTTTGCAAGCACACTTGCAGCCCGCACGAAGGATACTGTAATTTGGTATATAATAATATGTAAAAAATATTCTGCAATAATTTTTATTAAATTACTTCAATTAGTTTTCGTGTTTGGCCCTCATGACAACATAAATGTGACTCATATGGCCCTCCAGGGACCCTTGGTTTGACATGCTTGCCTCAGAGAACATGGAAAGTTGCCCTGTAGTAAAATGCACGTAAGTGACCACAAGAACTACCTAATCAAACTAAGAGCATTACCTCTTTTGATTCTGCTGGAAGACTGCACATTTCTGTGTCAACTGAGCCAATTCTCGTGCAGCACGTTCTCGAAGAGTGTTCAGTTTTTCTTTTGTAAGTGACAATTCTCCTTCCAGCCTGAATAAACAATAAGCATAATTAATTATTCCTAGAACAGTAAACAACAAACTTTAATCCATAGAGAGCTGTTATCGTCATATATATTGATTCAGGAGGTAATGTAATTATTATCATATGTTAATTTAAACTATTATTGTCTGTTTTTTTACACAAATAATGTTAATATGGATATATCTATACGGATATAGTGATGATTACCTGGACCTATGAATAAAATCCTGCTATTGTTTCATGCTGTCATTTCTATTTATATTTACAATACAAATATGAGCTGCCTAGTAAGGCTACAAAGCTGCATGTATTTATCCATGATATAATTAAAATATTTAATTTTGTCATGGACAGATAGCCGGTGTATATATATATGTATATGTTAGGCTTATATCAAAGTCCCCCCACCCAACCTACCTTACCTTGAGGTTACCTTGAGGTGCTTCCGGGGCTTAGCGTCCCCGCGGCCCGGTCGTCGACCAGGCCTCCTGGTTGCCGGACTGATCAACCAGGCTGTTGGACGCGGCTGCTCGCAGCCTGACGTACGAGTCACAGCCTGGTTGATCAGGTATCCTTTGGAGGTGCTTATCCAGTTCTTTCTTGAACACTGTGAGGGGTCGGCCAGTTATGCCCCTTATGTGTAGTGGAAGCGTGTTGAACAGTCTCGGACCTCTGATGTTGATAGAGTTCTCTCTCAGAGTACCAGTTGCACCTCTGTTTTTCAATGGGGGTATTCTGCACATCCTGCCATGTCTTCTGGTCTCATGTGATGTTATTTCTGTGTGCAGGTTTGGGACCAGCCCCTCTAATATTTTCCACGTGTAAATTATTATGTACCTCTCCCGCCTGCGCTCAAGGGAGTACAGTTTTAGGCTCTTTAGTCGGTCCCAATAGTTTAGATGTTTTACTGAGTGGATTCTAGCAGTAAAGAATCTCTGCACGCTCTCCAGGTCAGTAATTTCTCCAGCTTTGAAAGGTGCTGTCATTGTGCAGCAGTACTCCACTCTAGAGAGCACAAGCGTTTTGAAAAGTATCATCATCGGTATAGCATCTCTAGTGTGAAAAGTTCTTGTTATCCAACCTGTCATTTTTCTTGCAGTTGTGATGGCTACTTTATTGTGTTCTTTAAAGGTAAGGTCTTCCAACATGAGTACACCCAGATCCTTTACATTGCCTTTTCGTTCTATGTTATGATTTGCCTGAGTTTTGTACGTGGTTTCCGTTTTTATATTTTCATTTTTATATTTCCATAGCGCATGAGCTGGAACTTATCTTCGTTAAACACCATATTATTTTCTGTAGCCCATAGAAAGACCTGATCTACATCTGACTGGAGGTTCGCCGTGTCCTCTATGTTGCCTACTCTCATGAAGATCCTAGTGTCATCTGCAAAGGATGATACAGTGCTATAGGTTGTGTTCTTGTCTATGTCCGAAATGAGGATGAGAAAAAGTACTGGAGCAAGCACAGTACCCTGGGAGACTGAGCTCTTCACGGTTGATGGCCTGGATTTTATTTTGTTGACTATTACACATTGGGTTCTGTTGGTCAGGAAATTGTAGATCCATCTGCCTATTTTTCCGGTAATTCCTTTTGAACGCATTTTATGTGCAATAACACCATGGTCACATTTATCAAAAGCTTTTGCAAAATCTGTGTAAATTACATCCGCGTTATGTTTGTCTTCCATAGCATCTAATGCCATATCATAGTGGTCCAGCAACTGCGACAGGCAAGAGCGCCCTGTTCTGAAACCATGTTGTCCGGGGTTATGGAGTTGCTGTGATTTCATGTATTTTGTGATTTTACTTCTTAGCACTCTCTAAAAAAATTTTATGATGTGCGATGTTAGCGCTATCGGTCTGTAATTTTTTGCCTCTGCCTTATTTCCTCCTTTATGAAGTGGTGCTATCTCTGCTGTTTTTAGTATATGTATCAGGAATAACGCCAGTATCTAGGCTTTGTCTCCACAGAATGTGGAGGGCCTGCGATAGTGTTTTTTTACATACGTTCAATAGTATGTAATAGTTCAACCCAAGGTTGATCTATTGACTGTTACAAATGTGTGTAGCTAGTAACTGCTCTGTGGGTCAATGCTTAAGATACTGTTTTTTTGCAGTGCCAGTTAAGAACCCAGGTCGTAACATTGACCCTCCCTAGATGCAACTGCAAAGCAGTTGACTGACTCCCATCAATCTATTTACTTCTAGGTGAACAGAGGCATTAGGTGATTGGAAACGTGCTCAACCATTTCTGTCCCACCCAGGATTCGAACACAGGATTCCCGGTTGCGAGTCGAGAACAAACCAAACTGTACTGCCTCGTATGGGCCAATAATGTCACATAAAAACGAGTTTGGGAGGATATAAATAGGAAAAGCCTAGTACAGTACATGGGTCAATAAGTCCATACATGAGCTTGGAAGGATATAAATATAGGAGACAGGTCCTATTTATAATGTTCATATAATATAGGAACTGTCTCATGTGGACCAACAGGTCCATACACAAGTGAGTTTGGTACAGTATATAATTAGGAGGCAGCTCCTGTTTATACAATACTGTATTGTTCAAAGAAATAATAAATACCTCGCATGGGCCAAAATCAGGACAAATGGGAGAACCTTTGACAAGCTGCCAGCTTCCTGTTCTCAGCGAGGGCACTAGTGTGTTAGTGGCCCTCAGGTAAATTCAGTGTTGCAGGTGATGAGTCACAATAATGTGGCTGAAGTAGTTTGACCAGACCACACACTAGAAGGTGAAGGGACGACAACGTTTCGGTCCGTCCTGGACCATTCTCAAGTCGACTGTGGACCATTCTCAATCGACTTGAGAATGGTCCAGGACGAACCGAAAATTCGTCGTCCTTTCACCTTCTAGTGTATGGTCTGGTCAAATTCAGTGTTGTACTATACAGAGTTTATTATATAGAATTTTTGTTTAGGTTCATACCATTTCATGATTTCATACAAACTTATACTGTGTAATGATCATAATCAACTTGCATTCAATTTAATATTCATTAAATGAGCAACATTAATGTACAGTACCTATTTTTACTTATTAGACCAGAGTTTTGATGCACCTATTAAAGTCAAATTAGGTTGGAACAATATGATAAATACATAATACACACAATTATACACTACTTCTTACCTGTTCACTTGTATTTGTCTGGAGCTAATTTGGTCATCTTTCTGAGAAAGAGCTTTGGCAATGGCTGCTTCATGCTCTCTGGTGAAGGCTGACAGTTGAGCATCTTTGCTTTGCAGCTCCAACTTTTGTTTCTGCACAATGCGCTGAAGTTCTGCCCTATCGGAGGCCAAATTCTGAAGTTCTCGAGCATGTCTGAAAACAAAATTTTTTTTTATCTCAAATGCTTAATTACCAAGTAAAGCAGTCAAATTATTCTTGCATTAATTTTTATGTATGTGTTTAAATTTTTATTTGTATTCCTAAAAAGAAGAGTACAGTATTGTATATTTCTAGGTCCCCTTTAGGTTCAAGTAAGTTTATTGAGTAATAAAATACATCCCAAAAGGATAGAGTAGCTTAAGCTATTTCTACCCTCCTTTATTACAGGTCCCGCTCAAATGGGATCACAAATCTATATGACATGTATCCTATACTGTATATCTGTATTATAATTATATTATACATTACATTTACAGCTTACCTCAGCTATCAGGTGCATGTTTTGTCTTTAGTGAGTTTTATAAGTGTAGTAAATTCTGTACATAGGAGTAGTGGCTAATAGAGACAAAAGAAGGTGAGAAGATGGGAGTGAAGCCAGACATATACCTAAATTTATATGAGGGCCATCATCAATCTAGTGGCCTCGACAGGGACAGCATGCTGGCAGATCGTCAAGAGTTTTCCTGAGGATTTTCCTGAGAATTATTTCCAACTGGATTTTGAACTGCAGTAAAGTCTTGATATTTACATCTTCAGCAGGAAGGTGGTTCCATGACTTTATAACTACATATGTGAACAAATATCCTGTTCTCTGTCCTACATTGTGGATTGTTGAGCTTGAAGTTGTTACTCCTTTTGTGTTACATATGACCTTTTAAGGAAGTAGTTTGTATTAATATCCCTGAACTTATTCAGTATTTTAAAGGTCTTAATGAGGTCAACCCTGTCATGCCCTGTGGCCCTCAACTGTTCTTGGTATGACAGTTGACTTAGTTTTCAGATGACTTTTGTTGCACTGTGTTAAATTTTCTCCAAAGGAGATACTGGATGTCCTCCTAATGATGAAGTCTTCGTGCTTGGATACATTTGTCCAAACAAGGGCACACCAAAGATTTAAACAGTTGAATAACCACTCTCTTTTCCTTGAAGTCAAAGGTACATTTGACTTCCGGGTGTTTGGTTGGCTGTTTTACTGTAGCTCCCACTTGTTGTGCAACTTTGCAACTTTCAAAATCCACCAGTCAATAACTGGTGGATTTTGATTCCTAGGTACTTTCATTCATAAATCTGCTGCATAGTTGTGTTGTTGATTTGGTAGTCGCGATGTGCACTGTTATGGCCAACGTGCAAGACTTGAATTTTTCAATATTAAAAAGCATTTGCCAGTCTTCCGACCATTTGTGTAGCTCTCGCAGATCTCTTTGTAAGCTCTCAATATCTGCTTTGTACTTTTCCATAACTCTTAGGGTCATCTGCAAATGTGATTATGTGGTTTGTAATATTCTCATCTGTGTCACTGATGAATGACATGGCCCAAAAAGGGTTGGGTCCAAGATAGAAACTTGCAGTACTGAACTCAACACATTTCTCCAGTTGGATTAATTTTTATTTAGGGCGACCTTTTACATTCTTTGTTTTAACCACTGTTTTATCCATTCCAGTACTTTGCCATTTATTCCATGTGCTTGTAATTTCCTTGCCAAGTCTTTCATGTTCATGTTTCATGTTTATGTTTCACACACAAAAGCTTTATCAAAAGCTTTAGAAAAGACCATGTATACTATGTCTACATGTGAAGGATAGATGGATATACAGCATAGATAGACAGACAGACAGACAGATGGAGAGATATGATTGGCTAGACAGACAGATGCACAATAATGCTCATAATGCCTTTATATCCTTCCAAGTGCTATACAATATAGTCATACTGGCTTAGCTCTTTCTCCTGATAATTACCTTACTTTACCTTTCAAATTTCACAAACAATATACACAAATTCATATAAATTAAAAATACTCTAATTCCCTTTTAAGTGTTTTCACATTGCCACGAGTTTGTATACTGCAGTACATGTTTCAGCCAAGCAATGCCAACATACTTTAAAGTTTTCCATAAAACTGAACAATAGAAAACTTGTAGAAAATACATGAGATACCATAACACTGCTTTTCTAGCCAAAAATGTAATCTGTTTAGGTACAGAAATGCTGAAATCCCACAAGAACATACATCATATAGCCACTGTACCTTCGACTTGCAGCATACCCCTCTTCGCTGTCCCCATCGCTGGTTACTGTTAAATCTGTTGGCACTGACACTTCAGCACTTCCCTCGCCAGACATAATTCATGATGCTCTCATGATGGGCCTGAAGAATGAGTTTGAATATTAAATCAATTAAGTAATTTCCAAGATGGTAATTTTCTTGTTCTCAGAGTGATTGGCTATCATTTATGAGTTTCATATCAAATCAAATCAAATGTTTATTCAGGTAAAAGTACATACATACAATGCCTAAAACCACTAATACATACAGTGTTTCGGGCAAGGTAGTTGCCCGAAAGTTTGTTTGACCAAGTTTGACCAAGGTTAACGAGTTTTTCAAATTTACCATAGTACCTATACAGTACATATCAAGAGAAATTATAATTATTAGTTACTGACAATTTGGAGGGATTATTTTATCCATTGATGAAGGTGCTAGAGCTTTTTTTAGTTGTGGGTGGCCAAGGATCAGCAACATTATCATTCAACCCTTTCCCTTGGCACCCTATCTCAAGATAACCCACCAACCAATCTAAGAATACAGTACCAGTACAGTATTAAGCTAAGTGTGAAGAGGCTCATAAATGGGATCTCTCTTTAAACACACTCACCGTAGGAATTTAATTTGATTAGTCTAATTATTCAGAACAGTATTTCTTTCAGTTACTAAATTTTCTACAAATACAATATACTGTACAGTAACTAAAATGTATTTTGAAAAATATCAGAAAAATTATTCAAGATACCGTATGCCTAAATTGCAAAGCAGCCGAAATCCAAATACCTTAACTTTAGTAAACGTAGTAAAGTCATAGTTTGCCATTCTTAACAATCATTACCTAACCCATTTGTGACAACCTCTGAGACAGCAGGCAAGACTGACCACTGATGGGTTACAATATACAACACTGAAAATATATTGGAAATTTTTACCTAGGATATCTAATTTTTGATGGGGATTAAATAGGTTTGTATAACTATTCATCTTCATAGTTTTTTACCTTTTGCTTTAACTATATCTATTGCAAAACTATATATACACTGCACTGTATCTATTGCTACCCAATCTCCCAATCTTTATGTACCCAATCCGAACATCTTTACCATTGTGATCATTGCTGTCTTCTTATATGTGCTGTTAATCTGCTGTATGGTGTCTATTAATCTTGTTTAAATTACCAATCAAGCTGTCAATGTAATCAATCAGAGCTTTAATATACCAATGTGCTTTAATATACTTACTAATCTCTCTCATCTCATTTTTTCTTGCAATGTATTTGTTATCATTTTATTAATTCTGCTAGAATTTACCTACTTAAAATTATCTTAGATTAAGGACCTGCCCGAAATGCTGCGCGTACTAGTGGCTTTACAAGATTGTAAATACTATGCTATGTATTCTCACAAACCCAATGTACCTTCTTGTATATAAATAAATAAATAAATAAATAAATAAATAAATAAATAAATAAATGAGCTGTGTAGTACTGTACAATGTTCAACACATTGGAACCAAAGTGCAGCACTTTCTCACACATAACTAGAGAACTTTTTTAATAATAAACTCATGGCAGATAGAACGATAACTTTGCACGCAAGAGGCCCTAGGTACATATCCTTCAGTACAGTGACAAAAACCAGTCAAAAAATATTAAAAAAATAACTTCTTCCCACTGATTTTTGGTATATGAAAATATGCACGCAGATGAGTTCTATCATTTAATATAAACATGATAATTATGGCCAAAATAAGAAAAAGAAGCAAAGTTCATAATTTAAAAAATGCAGAGGTTGTTTGCATCTAATATCTGGTTGCAATGGATGTGATATAGCATGAACCGGTATGTACAGTGCAAGGTTTGAAATTGAAATTGAAATAAGTTTATTGAGGTAAAATACACTGAACTTAAGTACAGTGCAAGGTTGCACTGTACATACCAACATATATTTTATATTATAAAATGCAGGTGGTCTGGCCACTTGCAGGCTTACTGCGTACTCATCACTGGCGAGACATTACCATCAGATTATTTATGGCATGGACCAGGTTTTGAACCCCATTGCTAATTAATGGCTTTGTAAAGAATCAATCTACAATACTGTACCATAGTATTTAAGTATACATTAATACTGAATTCTTATAATTATAAGACAATTTTGAATTAATCTTCACTACTGCCCGAAACGCTGCGCGTGCTAGTGGCTTTACAAGACTGTAATTACCATATTTGTATCCTCACATTCCTTATGTACATTCTTGTATATGCATAAATAAATAAATAAATAAATAAATAAATAAATAAATACTAAGTATATCTTGAATTAATCTTCACTACTAAGTATATCTTGAATTAATCTTCACTACTAAGTATATTTTGAATTAATCTTTACTACTAAGTATATTTTGAATTAATCTTCACTACTAAGTATATTTTGAATTAATCTTCACTACTAAGTATATTTTGAATTAATCTTCACTACTAAGTATACAGTATTTTGAATTAATCTTCACTACTAAGTAGATCTCACAACATGTATGCTTTGGTAACAGTGGCATTACGAGTCTTGTGGTTTGATTGGAATATACGGGATTATTGTGCCTGTTCTTCACTGTGAGAGGTGGTAGAGTGTTTTTAATTAAATAACGGAACGTCCAACATACACACAAGCCGGAGGGAGGCGAGTACTGAGCACCCCGGTGTGAGGGACGACCCACGGTCTGCGAGCAGCGCTCGCCAGGTCTCACGGCGGACCCGCCACTTGAGTGGTGGTGTTGTTGTTATAGATTCAGCTACTCGGAACAAGTTCCAAGTAGCACGGGCTATGGTGAGCCCGTACCTTACTTAGCACAGGAGTGGGGCAAGTAGCACGGGATATGGTGAGCCCGTAACTTACCTGGCACAGGAGCGGGGCCCGTAACTTACTTAGCACAGGAGTGGGGCAAGTAGCACGGGATATGGTGAGCCCGTAACTTACCTGGCACAGGAGCGAGGTAGCACGGGCAATGGTTAGCCTGTGGAATTGGTTGATCAAAAATGATCAAAACCACTTGATTGGTTTTGATCATTTATTATGCACCCTATACCTATCGTGTGGGCGGTAGTGTAAAAGGTTACCGAGGCCCATTATGCGCTCAGAGACTGAACCCCAAAATTAATGTAGCTAAGCAAGTAATAATCTTGATAAGCTAGTTATACAGTTCAGTGTATAACTTTTTTGTTTTATTAACAGCCTTAGGTATACATAGCAATGTGCTGCTTCCCTATTCTATATGAAATATTACAGACATAAAAAAATTAACTATAAGTTAAATTGTTCACATTCACAGCCCAGGTGAATGGGATAAGTATAAGTTCATCTAATTCCCCCATCTCATGGAACGGTCAGTCATATTCCTGCTTCCACATGCAAGAAGTTAAAGATATTGGCCTAAATTTGTTTGAGTATGGCGTTACGTATATAAATGAACCCACAACTACGCAAAGTGTTTCTGGCAGAACTTAGAATAATTTAGATAAAAAATTATATATAGATATAATGGGTTAACACGTATTACTAAAAAAAAAAGAAGTAATCACGTCACCCGAGGAGATTGGTACAGAGTCGTTGTTAGACCCACCGAGCTATCTTGGGCCACACGGCCGCTATCAGATGACGGTCGCTCATCGCTTTCAACACCCGCTATTAATTCAAGATCAAGTTATGTAGATTATAATTTTTAAATATTACACGTTTTCCCATATTTTAATTAATCAGCATTCGTGATCTATGTTTATTTAAAAAATTGTATTTTATCATAATTTCTAGTACTTTTATAAACAATATTTAACTATAATATAATCTTCATTTGTACAAAATGATCATTGATTTATCTTCCCATTAATTTAAATTCAGTTTTAGCTGTCTTACTAATCTTTGAGCAGCTCTGTGTTTGTACAATCATTCATAAGCAAGCTTTTCTTGCTAAGTACTATTGGGATATAATTCCCGCTGTCCGGGACAGGAAAGCGGGAATTATATCCCAATAGTACTTCAGGGAAGTACTATTGGGATATAATTATCCCAATAAACTTCAGGGAATCCCCTGAAGTCGGATTACCGACCTTCCCCGAGATGCAACCCCACAACATGTTGTTGCCTGACTTCTAGACCATCTATTTGAGGGCCACTATCTCTCTAGTGATCTCTTACGGGCTATTCATGCCCGTGCCACTTTTTCGGTGGCTTAATCTTCATCAATCTAGTGGCCTCGATGAAGAAGATTGGAAGCCGGCGGCTTGTTAAAGGTCCCCTTCATTTGCCCCGAGGATTTTATCGAACTGCATTTGAAATTCAGCAGAATCTTTGCATTTACGGCTTCGGCGAGTATGCAGCTCCATGGGTTTATGAAAAAAAAGTTTTCTGTCTTACATTATTGTGGTTTGTTGAGTTTGAAACCGTTACTACTTGTTCGTATAACATCTGATCTTTTAATATTTTAAAAGTATTAATGAGATCAGCCCTGTGGCCCTCAACCGTTAAAAGTATGAGAATCGACTTAGTTCATGAATTATTTTTGGTGCCCACTGTTGAGCTTTCTCCATGTATATCTGAAGATGAGGTCAACACCTGAGAATTGTACAGTATAAAAGCTCATATGAGCTTCAAAATGCTGTGCACGAGGATCATGCAAAACCTTATAGAAGCTTCAAAATACTGTGTACGAGGACATCTCAGCTTTTATCAATCAGCCTAGGTGTTGATTGATTAGTTAATTTTCTATCACAGATGTTGTCAGTTTCAGTGTTAACAATCACAGTACACAGTACTGATATTCCGTTTCCAGCTGCCTTTCGTAGGTATAGTGTAGTGCAGTGTTTCCCAACTTTTTTTGACTCTACTCTATTTTCTAATACACAAAAGATCTGCAACCTCCATGAAACACTTTCATAATTGTCTAATCAGAATACACAGCACTTATTAATTATCGATGATTTAGATACACTTAGTACTCAGAATTTAAGGTCCGCGTCCCACCAGAAAACATTTTCGATCTCCTTTGAGGTCGTGGCCACCGGTTTGGAACCAGTGGTTCAATAGATTGATGAATATTAAGCCACCCAAAAGGTGCACGGGCATGAATAACCCGTAAAGTGGTGCAATAGGTTACTGAACCTACATATTCAAGCCATGTAGGTGTAGGGTTGCGGGCTATTCATGCCCGTGCCACTCTTGGGTGGCTTAATGTTCATCAATCAATCTAGGTGTAGAGCATACATCATGGCTGGACTCCGTAGAATAGCTCTTATGAAGGTGGAATACATTTTGTTTATCTTTTAATGCATTATAAGCTTTATTTATAACCTTATAATGGTGTTTACATCAATTAATAATACGTATATAAAAAGGCATATATACAAAATATATCTTTATATTCATAAAATGGCTAACGTCCCCCAAAACTTTGGCACCAAGATCAATCCCAAGACATTGTAATTGGTAAAAGTAGCATAGCCTGTATGAAAATGAGTTAGAAGTTTCCGTAAGTCTCCCAGTAAATAAAATTTATACGAAATCAAACGAGGATACAGGATCCAACCCAGAGCAGGCACTGTGGAAATAAATGACAATTCAAACGTACAAGGAAAATTTGGTACCTTGATTGTGGTGCAAGTACACAAGGTTATCGAGGCGCGTGTCCACTTCTCAGGAACGTACGTCACACAGGTATTTAACCCACAGCAACAAAACCATTATGATTATCAAGGTAAACATGTCGAGCATATATGACGTGTGACGCGCCACTCCGACGGCACTGGTGGTGCTGCGTCAGTCCGTCCTCCTAAGGTTTCGCAACATCAAGAAACTGTCGTACTAAAGTGCTCTTATCTTACCCTACCAGCGGACTCAAAACAGAAAACGGGACAGTACGTCAATTTCGCGAGCCGCTACCATTTTCTAGCACGACGATTTTTGGCCTTAGGCAGAGTATACGTCAAAATGTGACGTTCTATTAGGAGTACGGGTCGGAGCACGTTGGTTGAAAGCAACCGACATTATGATATGTCGGTCGCTTTCAACCAATGGTGATTGTGACGACAACGACGAAGAAATATCTACTGCTCATATGTTTATGCAATAGTAATCCAATTATACTACATACAAAACAATCATAAACATAAAACATATATGGCGGCATATACAAAAAAAGGACTTCGGGCGCATATACCTTTATTATCCAAGCCTAAAATTCCGATACTTCTGGAGGCTTGCTACATGTGAGAGACCCTAGGATAGTTTAAAGGTAATTTCACTACAATTAAGTCTTCAGTAGCCGCTTATTATGCCATTGTCACATACCTTTATAGTTTATATAGAAGATACTCTGCCTACAGTAGGCCTACTTTGCAATATAATGGTCGACCTATAGTAACAGGTGTTCATTCATGACGGATTCGGTGGTGCCAAACATGAATATTTGCTAAATTAACAACCAATATGTAGCATAATTAGTGTTTAAACAGTGTAACTGTACAGGTAATCTATATCGTATTAGTACAGCATACTTCTACTATGTATAGTATATTTGTACAGCATACTTCTACTATGTATAGTATATTTGTACAGCATACTTCTACAATGTATAGTATATTTGTAGTGTACCTGTATGTATTATTAGTACAGTACCTCTACTATATATTATTAGTAAAGTGCACTTATATGAATATTAGTGCAGTATACTTCTACTATATATATATATATATATATATATATATATATATATATATATATATATATATATATATATATATATATATATATATATATATATATATATATATATATATATATATATGTCGTACCTAGTAGCCAGAACGCACTTCTGAGCCTACTATGCAAGGCCCGATTTGCCTAATAAGCCAAGTTTTCATGAATTAATTGTTTTTCGACTACCTAACCTACCTAACCTAACCTAACCTAACTTTTCCGGCTACCTAACCTAACCTAACCTATAAAGATAGGTTAGGTTAGGTTAGGTAGGGTTGGTTAGGTTCGGTCATATATCTACGTTAATTTTAACTCCAATAAAAAAAAAATTGACCTCATACATAATGAAAAGGGTAGCTTTATCATTTCATAAGAACAAAATTAGAGAAAATATATTAATTCATGAAAACTTGGCTTATTAGGCAAATCCGGCATTGCATAGTAGGCTAACAAGTGCGTTCTGGCTACTAGGTACGACATATATATATATATATATATATATATATATATATATATATATATATATATATATATATATATATATATATATATATATATATATATATATATATATATATATATATGTCGTACCTACTAGCCAGAACGCACTTCTCAGCCTACTATGCATGGCCCGATTTGCCTAATAAGCCAAGTTTTCATGAATTAATTGTTTTTCGACTACCTAACCTACCTAACCTAACCTAACCTAACTTTTTCAGCTACCTAACCTAACCTAGCCTATAGAGATAGGTTAGGTTAGGTTAGGTAGGGTTGGTTAGGTTCGGTCATATATCTACGTTAATTTTAACTCCAATAAAAAAAAATTGACCTCATACATAATGAAATGGGTAGCTTTATCATTTCATAAGAAAAAATTTAGAGAAAATATATTAATTCAGGAAAACTTGGCGTATTAGGCAAA